AGGAAGTCCTCGTGTTGCACCCCTTTTCTCCTTTTGTACAGTTTTTTTTTTTTTTTTTTACCCTTTTTTTTGGGTGTAATATTTTTTTCCCCCCCCCCCCCCCCCTGCCGGCGGGGTTTTGGTGTAGTATTTGACTTGTGTGTTATGACATTTTTATTTTTGGTTAAAGTTTATGATTTGATTTCTATTAAAAATACCCTTACGATGTAAATCTACGAAAATGAAATGAATTTGAAATGAATCTATATACAGAAGATAAAGTTCAAATTTATATCCATTGCATGTGCGTGTAATTAGGGCTCCTTAAATTTCTTTGGCACTCAGGTCGATTGTTTGAGTGGATTTACCCAAATCCTGCTTTGGGCATCTGAGGACGTGAAAGTGAAAGCTTGATAAGAAGAGGGAAGTAATAAAACTTGATTGTCTTAAGGGAACATTTGGTTAGATCACTGTTTGACTTTTTAGCAGCTTTAGAGCTTATGAGTTTGAATCCAAAAATAATCTCTCTATTTGTTCTGCTTGTGAGAATTTATTCTTCTGCATTGTCAAATTTAGAAAAATTAGGTTTTTGTTCCAATTGTTGTAAGGATATCAGTACACTACCCTGCGAATTGAAATATTAATCTAGAAATTTTTAGTTCCCTTTTCTTTGTTTCTGTCCTTTTAATTACTGCATAAACCAGTTCTGCATGATACTTTTTTTCATACAAATTGGAGGGAGCAGTTGCAGGGCATGAACACTCCCATTTGTGCAAATTTTCCATAATTAAAAGAAAAATTTCAACTAATCTCATTGAGACATAATGAAGATTTGTGGTTGCTTTTCCGGCTCTTTTGAGAGAATTTGTTAGATATCTGCAGTGATTTTTTTATTTTTATTTTCAGTTTGTACATTATAAAGGTCACAAATAGTTGGAAATTTGAGGCAGAGAATCTTGATTTTTGTTGCATATATCTCCTGTGTCTAAAATATAACTTAGCGTGCCATTGTATTTTATCCACCGATGATGATTCAAGTGTACAGGTTGCTTACATGACTATGCATTTCATGAACATTTTTTTCTTTTTCTTCTGGATGGGTAAATTTATAAAATATTTAGTTCTAAAGTTCGAAAATGGTGGGCAGAAATGGCTTTGGGTGGAGGTGGTCCACAGAGAGGAACTGCTGCAGCAGCAGCTGCTAACATGCGTCGGAGGAGAACAACTGGTGGTGGAGCCACTGGTGGGGCTAGTGGAACCATGCTCCAGTTCTACACTGATGATGCTCCTGGACTCAAGATTTCTCCCAATGTTGTGCTTGTTATGAGCATTGGATTCATAGCTTTTGTTGCTATTCTCCATGTCATGGGTAAGCTCTACTTTGTTCGTAGAGAGGCTTAAGATAAGAGGTTGAATGGTTGATGGCTAATAAAAATATGAATTGCTTCCTCAAAATGCTTTTGGTGCGATTTTTTTTTTTTTTTTTTTTAAATAGATTTTTCGAATGGTCGTGATGAATAGATACCTAGGATTTGAGTAATTTAATGGAAAATTGTGTATTTTGGCAGTGTTTATTCTCAAGTATCTTGAATTGTTTACTGAATCTGGAAGAAGTTTTTGGATATCGTCTTCTTCATTATTCGTTTCCCTTGCTGTCAATAATTTAGCATATCATATGATTTGCATCGTTTCCTAGCTTAAAACTGAATGATCATATAATCAAGTTACACATTTATTGTGCGAACGTGGAAATTAAACAAATCACCTTTTTTCTTTTCAATTTTCGATTTTACTACTACTTTTTATTCAACAAATACTAACTTTTTCTAACTATACAAACACTTCACCTTCTTTCTAATTTCCCACCGTAGGCCACCTGATGCGGACATCCTTTGTTAGGCCGTCTGTTTGGGCTCCTATTTATTTAGGCCCAAGCCCTTATGCTTTAGGGTTGTTTTCTTCTATTTAAAGGTTTGTAATTAATCTGGAAAAACTCAGTTGATGAAGATGATGAATTGAATGAAAATTAGCATTGCTTTCTCCTGCCTTCCCTTCTTTTTCTCTTCTCCTCCGGTCTTCTCCCTCCATTCTCTCCGTTCCTCTCCCCTTTCTTGCTGCCTATTTCTTCCTGTCCTTCTAACTGTGGTTATTTCTTGATCAGTATCTTGATTCTACATCAACTTGGTATCAGAGCCAAACCTGGCTTCCCTTCATCAGATTGCTACTTAATTTTGAGTTCTAGACCATCATGGAGACCATACGCTTTTTGGAAATTCTTAATCTGAAGACAGTGTTGAAAAAAGGATCGGGGTTTTTCTTTTTCAGCCAAAGATTTTAGTTTCAAGCCAATCACCTGCTTAATCTATACCATCTCACAATTTTACGGGTTAGCTCACTTTCTCAAAACACTGTCTCCCTCGTCAAAAAAACTTCTGCTGCTTATGGTTAACCGTTGCTACCATAATCTGAAAATAGTCCCAAAATCCATTACTGCTGCTATAACACCACCCAACTGCCTTGTACAACTGCCAATGCCCATTACCATGCTATCATTCCTGACAGTTAAAACCCATGAACCTTTAGCCCACTCTCCAATTATAAATGTACAATCCATGTACCCAAAACCAACAATACAGCCATTCCTCTAACCAACTTCCTCACGTCCCAATAACCAAACACAAACCCAATTACTGAGCCCATGTTATTTATCATACCTGCAACCCAACTTAATCCCCAAAATCACTAGGCCCATTATCCCAGCTAATCATCACTTAACCCACTCAATCTAGTCCATTACTCGGCCCAAATTACAACATTCCCACCAGAATCACAATCTCTTCTGCCTGGTTCCGCCACTGCCGACAACCTCTACTTACTGGCATCCCACATAATCCCACCACCCCGAAATTAAAGCAATCAACCCAAGCCACATAACTTCCATTAACCAGGATGTCTCAAACTCCAAGATAGTAACTGGCGGAAACTTCACAATAACTTGTAACTTTACTTTTCATCCAAAAAAATAATAAAAATAATAAAATCGCGACTATGAGTTCAAAAACGCCAATCGCCGCCAGTCATGCCCACCAGCAGCATTCATAATCACAATCCAATTTGTTGCCTTCATCAACCCGTTCTACATCAAACGCCATCGCCATTGCTCAATCCAACTAACAAATCGCACCACACTCTTTTCCAAATCCAAAAAACACCCACCCTACCACCTCAAGTTCCATCGTCTCCTCCAATTTCGAGCAACTCGCAACGCCCTGAAACATCTACCTCGCAATCATCGCCTCCAATTGTAACCACCACCGCAGCCACACCAACCATCAATCACCTTCACAACGTTGAAGCTCATAATCACTGCAGCTGCTACCCACCGCCGTTCATCATTACAGCGACGCTGTCCATAATCACCTTAGCCAATGACACCTCACCTCCACTCGATCCCCAATTTGCCATCACACAGATTGGGCTCGAGAGAAAAGTCAGCACTTGATTTTTAGATTGGGCTGTGCTTTAGTTAATATTATGGGCTTGGAATTGTGTGGTAATTTGATTTTCAATTTGGGCTCTACTCTACTATTTTGGGTCCAATATTTTGATTGACATTCCCTTAGACGATTTAGTAGCATTTTGGCACCGTGATCGTTCCAACGTGAAAATGATGAATAGGATATCATTTGACAACAATATTTTGTGATTTAACCATTCGACATGGTCGAGTTTTCTCCCACCTCGGGAGAGTTGATGCGGACATCCTTTGTTAGGCCTTCTGTTTGGGCCAGTTATTTATGTTTTATGTCTATGTATTTAGGTTTTATATTTTATTGGGCTTGTATATGGGTTTGGCCCAAGCCATTATGCTTTAGGGTTGTTTTCTTCTATTTAAAGGTTTGTAATTAATCTGAAAAAACTCAGTTGATGAAGATGATGAATTGAATGAAAATTAGCATTGCTTTCTCCTGCCTTCCCTTCTTGTTCTCTTCTCCTTCGGTCTTTTCCCTCTATTCTCTCCGTTCCTCTCCCCTTTCTTGCTGCCTATTTCTTCCTGTCCTTCTAACTGTGGTTATTTCTTGATCAGTATCTTGATTCTACATCACCACCCCACCCCACCCCACCCCCCCCCACCCCATTTTCCAATGTTGGTTCAACCTAAATCTACCCC